CCTTTTGTAATCAATTACTAGCTTCTTTAAACATTCTAGCCCTTACTTTTCTCTGAATGTTGTCTTCCTTTTTTTTTTTTTACTGCTTAAACTCAGCTTCAAGTGTATCAATTATTTTCTCTCCAATTCAAGTATCTCTTTCTTTTCTTCTTTTATTTCCCTTTGTTCTTGTTCTTTCTTCTGTCTTTTTTTCTTCTTTCAATTTATTTTGCATCTCCAAAAAGGCTTTGTAACTAGAATGTGGATTGTGGACTATGTCAAGTAATTTCTTTTGTAATTGGCACCAAAAAAGCATTACTATTCCATCTCTTATTACCAACAATGAATTCATCACTCATTCTAACATTGCTGCTCTGTATTCTGTCAGAACACATCTAGAAATAGAGGAATCTCATTCAACATCAGCATTGTCAAGAGAACGAGCCAACAATGTTTTGACTATGTTAGACACATTTGGGTATTTTGGCATCCCAGCAGGATTCTGTAACCCAAAAAAATGTTTCTAGTAATGGTCAATTCTATTAACTTCCTTTTGATCAGCTCATTCAGGCTCCGACTAAAGTAGCTTCCACTTGTCAAGTAAGATGTCCATTGGAATATCAAATGGTAAGCATTTTGTAATCCTGATTATGTCTGTATAACTTCTCTGTAAAATTCTTTCACATGGTTCAAACACCTTAATGATTTTAATATCATTGAGCTCACTTGGTGACTTTTCAAGTGTGCAAGTAAGTATATAAGTAAGTGCAAGCATGTAGTGCTTTTGCATCTGGTTTTTGAAAGAAAGAATCTTTTTTTGCAAGGAATTCAACCTTCTTTCAAATTTGTGCTGAATGTTATCTCTCTCTCAATAGTAGATTCTTTGCTGCAAACAGACATCTTTCATATGGTAGTTTATCTTCCACTATACTTTTCATGCATTCAGTGGTTAAAATCCATCCCAACAAAGATCACACCAGATTAAACAATCCACATATAAAATTATGTATTAAGGGACCCTGAAACAGCTAAATAAATTTTGTAAATAGCTCTGTACTAGATATTTTGAAATAAAGTTCAGCTTTGATGGTAGAACATTTCAAAGATTCTGAAATTATCTTGTATGAAACACCATTCATTAATTAAGCTGATTTCTTTTCAGGAATATGCTTTAGAAAATGCAATGTGTTTTTTATATTTGGACCATAACATTATATCAAAAGTAATTTATCAAGAGGACATGATGTACAGTTTAAATGACCAACATAATTTTTTATTTAATTGTTTCAGCATCTGAATGACCAATAAATGAAGTCTAGAGATGCCTGCAGTCAATTTCATGTCTTTGCTTTGACCACTATCTGATCAGAATTTGGAGTTCTTTTCAGTTTTCTACGTTGCATGTGTCATCATAACTGATACTGTAAAATGTTGAGCATCATCTACCATTTGATCAAAGAAATAAGGGGCCAGAGCTTCAGTGATCATGTATCTAATTTTTTGATGCAACAATGAAAATTTCTTTGGAAGATTGAGCATATGGCATTGTCTCCTTTATACCATAAGATGAAAATGAATAATTGCTGGGTATTTTTTCATAGTCCAAATAAGTTCTGAAGTACAAGCAGCAACTTTTACATTACAAAGTTGTATCAGTGATAGGTTAACTGATAGTTGCTCTGAACTGGTACCTGATTTTCCATTACACAAATTGGGAATACTTTCAGCAGAGACTTTGAGGCAACTGAATAGTTGTCATTCTTAATCACTTGGGATCAAAGGCAGCATTGCATTTCTTTCAGTGTTTGTTGTATCCTAAATGTTGTAGGATTGCAGGAAAACCTCTGCTAAATACACTGATAGTAGAAGTACGCAATGTACAGAAAAGATCAAAGGCACAAGATGACACCACAAAACCATTGAGTCAGTTTTATGAAGCCATTCATCCTTAACCATGCACTTTGTCTTGTCATGTTTTACTGTAAAACAGTTCTGTCAGAAAGAAAAATTAAAATGACTGTTAGAAAACAGAAAACAATGATGCATGCCAAATGTAAGCACTAACTTAAAACCAAACTTACATACTGCAGTTGATTGCACAGTAACAGAAGAATGAATTAGACTATAATGCATGTAGTCAGTCCCAAACAGAAATGCCATAAATTTCCCAATTCAATAAATTGTATACAGCTTGTGCAAAATTCAAGCATTAGCTGGTGTTGATGAATGATATAATATTTAGACTAGTAATAATTATTTAAGTAACTAAACAGTGATAGTTGCTTAATTGTAATGAATTTCTATTGTTTTCCAATACAGTAAGCTTATAATTTACTATTACATTACCCTACGTTTTTGCTGTTTGCTTATGTCAGTCAAACTCTTTGAAGCAATTTGTGCCATTCTTTTACTTATACACATACAACAGATACTTTTGTTGCCAGATCCAATGCCACAAAACTAATGCAAAATTTTCAAATAGTCAAATTATGTAAGAAAATAGCAAATTAAAGAATTAATACTTTTTATTTACAATAAATAAATATATATGTAGTAAATAATTAATAAGAAATAAGAATAATATATAAGTATATATACTGTAATATTCTTATTAATTATTTATTAATAAGAATAATTTCAAATAATAAGTTTAATTTTTTTATATTTTTTAATTATTATTTTTTCTTTAAAATAAAAAATGATTTTTATTTTAAAATTTCATGTTTGAAACATTAGTTTTTTTCACTTGTAACCTCCATAATTGTGAACTATTTCTGCACATTTCTGATCTTTTACTAATATGCACTGATAGGATCCATTGATTTTTTTGCAGTTGACAATGGAATTAGAGAAAAAGCCTCCTGAATTTCTTCCAATATGTCAGCTGACAATTGTTTGCGATCACCATTACCATGTAAGCCCTGCATTAAGTGTGGTCTCTGGTGCACAACCACAAATTACTGTTACACACTGATAGATTTGACTTGTTGAGTGCAAATCTCCCCCTTTTTGCAGAAAGAAGAGGTTGGGTGCCAAGACACTCATGACATAGTTGTTTCTTGACATGTTGCTGTAACCCATTACAGCTCTGTAACAAAAGAGAAAAAGAAAATGAGAAACTGGAAGAGGTTACATTAGATTAGGTACTCAAATGAGAGTATGTAATAGTAACATGTTGAGAAGATAGAAGGTGTGCTTGCATGGTAATCGTGGTCACAAAAAGTCATCCACTGACACGTGTGAAGAAATTCAGCAAGGTTTTTCTTATTCTTTCATCATTAACTGCAAAAACAGTTGATGATGAAAGAATAAGAAAAACCTTGCTGAATTAAACAAAACAACAAAAAAAAATTGTACTTTACTTTATGAATATGTAATAATGAAAAATCTGCAATTGGAAGGAAATAGTGTATATTTACCTTATTTTATGGTTTTTTCCATTTACACTTAAAGACAAAATAACAAGAAAAGCAAATTTATCTTGAAGAAAAAAAAAAAATAGAGTGATTTTATGACCTGCATATATCACTTTGTAAACTTTTTATTTCTTTACATTTGAATTTAAATGATCAGTGAACAAAATGAATATTCTCTAAGTATGAATAGAAGCAAGGATTGGATCATACTGGCAGAATTCTATATACAGTGGGTGATCGGTTAACGAACAAATCGGATAACGAACACTTTCGCGAAAGATTTTTATGTTTGGACAACGAACACTTTCGCGAAAGATTTTTATGTTCGGACAACGAACACATGATCGGATAACGAACACCCCACAGAAGAAACACAAGAAGAAGCGACGTAAAATAATGAATACCTATTGGACTTCCCTTATCTTCGGGCAACAATTCAAAACTTTTCGGAGTGTGGGAGAAGTCGAAATCGACGCTCAAGCCGGTATATACCGATCAGATAGTATTCCTCCGAACTTTGAAACTCTCCCTTGTAATTCCAGCCTTTTATTTTTCTGACAAAACAATTCTTTTATGTATTCGCAAGACTGTAGGGTAGGCATTCGTTAATTTTTGTGTCTGTTTTTCTTTTTGAAAGGTGAGAGTATAATATTAAAGGTAGAGAGTGGGCAGAAGATACCTAATGTTGCTGGGCAGTTTGGCGTTATCAGGTCTACAGTAGGCCACAGTTCAATCATATTTAAGAAAAATACTGTATAATCAAGAAGACTCAAGCAACTAAAGGAGTAACAAAAATCACATCTGAGAAATAAAGAACATCGAAGAGTTCATAATGAAACCTGAAACGGATCTGACAACAGAAGAACGCCAAGAACTCTTGAATGAAGAACACCAAGAAACTTGGCGAGATAAGTTTTATTATAAAAAAAACAGGATTAATGCCGATATCTGTTATTAAAGATCCTTTGAAGAAGTATGAGGATGTAAGAACAACAGTCTTAGAATGGCATCCAAACCAGGTTGAGGCTTGGGGAATTCTACAATTGCAATGCTATTAATTACCTACGAAAAATCCTGAAGAAGAGAGAAAAGCAATCGACATTAGACAGATTCTTTAACCCTTTCAAACAGAAAAACATGATTAATAAAAACACAAGATTGTGTATGGATGTATTTTTATTATTACATATAAATAAACATAGTAAGAAAGTATATATTTTTTATTTTTGGGTTTCTCCAGAACAAATTAATTAAATTCCCATTAAAACCTATGGTAAATCGATAATCGGTTAATGAACAATTCGGATAGCGAACAAAGTCTTGGAACGGATTATGTTCGTTAACCGATCACCCACTGTATATAATTTAACAACATTTTAATAAATCTTGTACATTGTAAGTTTGTTATTAATATTTGTTTTTAAAATATATTCGATTTAATGGACTTTTAGTAATAGCAGATAACTCTTCCCCAATTAGTCCATTAAATATTTATAAAATTTATATTTTTGATAAAGCCTGGCAAAATGATAATTGTTACACAAAACAATAAATTTCTTAAAAATGGTATAACATTATGAATATATATAAAAACAAAATACTTACTCTCTCTTGTCAAATTGAATTCTGTTATACCACTATGGCTAAAAACAACTTCTCTGAAATTATAATATGAATCATTCAAAAAATTTGCTAAACTAATTTCAGTTAATATTAATTAAAATTTATGAGTGTAAAATAAATAAAAATTATACAAAACATAATAATATTTAATATACATTGTATTTTCATTTTTTTAAAATTCTTATAATCCTTATGAATGCAAAATATGTAAATGTCAAACTAATTTAAACAAAAAAATAAAGAAAATTAAATCAATTTTATCTATTATAAACATCAGTTAGTTACACAGCTTCAGTTCTGTCTTTTTACTCAACTGTCAAATTTCTGACTTTTCCAGACTTTCCTCAACATATTTTCCAGTAAGCTTTTACTATTTTGTATCAAACTAACAAGTAATAAAGTTTTATATTAGTTTGAAAATAAATCATTTCACAAAATGTAGCACCCTTTATAACACGGGTTCCCAACCTATGGGTCGCGACCCAGAAGGGGGTCACGACAGGTTTTCTGTGGGGTCGTCAACTTATGCAGTAAACTAAAACAAAATTTTCACTATAATGCAATATTTATTTTTAATGGTGTCTTAAAGTTTGAATAATTTCATATATTTTTAAAAAATTAAAATAAGTGTAATCTGGGTACGCTATTCTGTCACAGTTGGTTGAAACATGTGTTGAGAGTTTTGAGAGGAATAAATTAAATGTTGAGAATGACATGAGGTTGGCGTTAACAAAATCTCACCCGCGAATTTTGAGGCTGGTTAATAATACATGCAATTTCAACCATCTCATTAAATTAATTATTAAACATAATTTAAAATAAAATTATACTAAAAAACTAATTTCATTGTTTTTTTAATTACCTTATTAAAAATACCTTTTTCAATTGTATCGGGGTCGCGGGTCACTTGGCTTTTATAAAAAGGGGGTCGCCACCCGAAAAAGGTTGGGAACCGTTGCTTTAAAATATTATTTTCAATTATAATAAAACCCTCTTCAATTATTTTAAAATTTTATAATAATTATAAAATTCATTTTTTATACCTATCACACATTTTATAATCTTATTAGTTTGTTTTCTATTTTAACTAAATTTAATATAAATATATTATATAAACATTTAAAAAAAATAGTGAAAAACAGAAAAAGTTTGAGGATTTTGAAGAATTTTAAGAAAGTATATTTATCAATATAGTTATTAAAATTTTATAAAAATTTATAAAATTTTAAGAAAGTATATTTATCAATATACTTTCTTAAAATATACATTTTGATAAAAATTAATTAAAACTAAATTAATTAAACAACAAATATGAAAATTTCACAATTCAACAATGTGTTCATGACACTTACTTTATCTGACAAGTATCTGCAAAACTGACTCGTCTTGATCGTCTAGTTTCTTTGTCTTTATTCTATCAATTTAATAATTAATATTAAAAATTCACAATAAATATAAACATTTTAAGCTTATGAACAGTTCTACTACTAAAATAAGAAAATTATGAAAACTATTATTATTTATAAATGCATAAATAAAATTTCAGGAGGAGGAAAGAAGGGCTGTAAAACTCAAATTAAAAAATTAAATATCCTTTATTATCATTATTGTTGTTTTATAATTCACTCTTACACTATTGCAATCCAGTTCTTGTAAAGGTGCTCTTGATACTGGCTTAAGTATCTAAAAAAAATAAACAAAATGCTTAATTTTAAAAAAGATAATAAAACCACAAAATAATTATTTTAGAAATAAATAAATATTCTATAATAAATTTGGAAAAAGTTACAAGATGTCTTGGATAAGTGTATGATTCTAACTGGAGATATAAATGAATGGGTGAGTGTGAAGAGAAGTGTGAGAGTGCTGGGTCTGTATGATGATCCTTGGGTGAACAATAATGAAGAGCAATTAATTGAGCTCTGTGTGGAAAGAGACTTTCAGAGTGTGATTGTATAGAAAAACGGTGTCCAATACCTTTTTTCCACACAATCACAAGACCATTCATCAGTACACGTGGAAAGTCATACAAAAAGGTCGGAGAAGCTTAATAGATTTTGTTGCATATGATGATAGATTCAGAGATGCAGTGGAAGATATAAGAATTATGAGACAAGCTGACTGTGGCTTGGACCATTACTTAGTGGTATCAAGGATGCAATTGAAGATTGGGTGATGGAAAAAGAAGAAAAGGTGGCTCTGCAATGAGTGAAAACAGTGCCTAATGAGTAGAAAAAATGTGTATAAAGAGTATGTTGAATTGAAACTGGCAAAAGTGAGAAAATGAAAAATGTGGAGGAGGTTTGGAAGCACTTGCAATCTTGAATTATAGCAGCAGCAAAAGAGGTATGAGGTGTGACAAGAGTAGGCCATAAGAGAGTGACTGTATGAAGGAATGACAGAGTTGAGCAAGCAGTGAAAAAGAAAAAGCCTGCATACATAGGCAGACTGAATGGCAATGAGAGTGAAAATGAGTACAGAGTGAAGAAAAAAGCTGCATGAGTCATTAAAGAAAGTAAAAACAGAATGAAAGAATGAACTGAGCACTTGCAAGAGACATTTAAAGAAAATGTTTTGGGTGCAAATGAAAATTATACTTGGCAACAGAAAGACAAATGTATCCTGTATGCAAAGTGCAAATGGTGAACTACTATGGCAGAGTTTTCCAATTGAATCAGTATTAAGCCCTTAGGGGGTTGATAAAACTGTAAATATAAAATATTTATTTAAAAATATTAAAAATTTTACATATATTTTGCTCATAAATAAATGGAGAAAGATGTCTTTTAAAAATTATGTAAGAGTATACTATATATATATATATATATTTTATTTATTTATATAACATAATATTGATTATCCTGATTTATTTAGACACCAAATCATGCTTACAGAAATAATGCTCAGGGTGTAGAGCATGTCTATAAATCTTCAGTTCCTCCTGTTGAGAGAGAGTTCTGATGGAAAGATTTGTTCATGTTGACTATCCCAGGGTAAATGTCAAAAGACCAGAGAGATGTCAAAGTCAGTTCAGCAGAGTGTCGAGGGTGAAGTGGAGAAGGCAACCAAATAAGGTATAGCACTGTGAGAACACTAAGGGAGAAGCTCTTTTGTCTTTGATATCAGAGTTTTTATCATCTTAGATCCTTGATCAACCACTTTGGTTTTGATTCAAAATTAATACTAAATGAGGTTCAGAAAAAATGATGCAACATATATTTCCTCACCCCCATTTTCTACGTGATCATCACTCATTACTAAGTGTAATAAGATCTGAACCCAGATCACAGAATGAATCAAAATCGACATTTAATTTCATCCCAACTGGAGATAGTTAATTTTAGGACTTGCATTGTATAGTTTTCCTTTGTTTATTTTCTGAGAACAGGGGTTTGCCCCCACTATAATAATTAATATTTCTTTTTATGGACGTAAAAATTATATTTTACAATATTAACAAATTTAGTGATTTTTAGATTTTAGCGTGGTTTTAAGACATTTCCAGAGCCTCACAATATTGTGACAGTTCTGACATACAAGGGAAAAGGTGAAAGGACAGATTGCAAGAACTTCTGTGGCATAAACTTGCTGAGCATACCTGGAAAGTGCTTATTAGTGATGGGACGATACCAAAATTTTTCCCGAATACACTGAAAACTCCCAATTCAATTCTTTTAATTAGTTTCTAAAGTTTATTTTTGTTTAAAAAATTAACAATTTACATTACCAGCACGGCACATTTATTAATTAATAAACATTAAGCTTAAAAATGAAAAATAATTGGAAAATTGAGAATCAATCTTTCGAAAGAAACCCAAAACTTCTCCATTTATATATGGATATGCATGCTTTTATTATGTACTATAAAGCAAATTTGTATTCTTACTTCAAATAAAGTTAATATTGCAACACTAAATTTAAATAAATTATAGATAATTCCCTTTTACTCAAGAAACTATCCCATTGTATCACTTAGGGTTGCCATCTTTGGAAACTACTTCATTGGCCGATGCTATGATTGGGAAAAGGGAAATGGTAAATAAGGAGATGTGCTTATTTTTAATGCTTCTTGCAATTGGTATGCCTTGTAAATGCTTTAAGTCCATCATATTTAATACTAAATGAAGTTCAGTAAAAATGATACAACATATGCTAAACAAACATATCATCATCAAGAGTTAACCAATTTTTGAATTCATTCACTTGAGCCATGAATATCTAGACTGTCTCATCTTGAAAAATCAATTTTTAAAACTCAAAATAGCAGTATACTTATTGTAAACAATTATTTTTATTTATAACAAATGCAATTTGTGCAATTCTGATTCATCTGTGAATCATAACAAAAACACTTCTATATAAGCTGAAATTAATTTAGCCTGAAAAAACACCTTAAACACTTTTTTCAGCAACACTTTAAATTAAACAAAAGCTTTTGATCCTTTTCATAGGTCTGTATTTTCAAGTTTAACAAAAAGATTCAAACTATTCAAGAAGACAGTTGTTAAACATGACACAGACTTATGAAGAGAGGTCAAAAGCTTTCCTTTAAAGTGTTGCTGAAAAAAGTATTTAAGGTGTTTTTCAAGCATTTTATCATTATAAGTAAACATACTAAATATTAAAAATAATTTTATATAATATTCTTTTTGATTAAAATATAAACACTGCTGACACTTAAATATTTTTTGTCAACTGCCAGCCTTGATTTGAATTTGTTGGTCAAGCCAAGCCAATATAGGCCAGGTGGCAACCCTATCTCCCCTAAAAGGAGGACAATTAGTACAAACTGAATACAATCTCTCATCACTCCGACTACATGAAAGAAAAGTCCACTGCAACAGACACCACCTCATATACTCTGCTTTGTCAATATGAAAGTTTCAAATAAAGTAATGCTTAATTTTTACACTGTAATGTCCATACAAAAAATTTTGGGTAAATTTAATCCTTTTCTTATATCCAACCAGAGATAGATGATATACAACACAAAGATAAAACATAAATCTTCTTTAAAATGACCAACAAGATATTGTTTAAAAACCTATATTAAGTTTTTTGTATGATCATTACAGTGCAAATATGTAAGTAATCCTGGGAAAAATATAATTCATACTTAATTGTTAATATCGCAATTTAAAAAATTTTTAATCTTTGACTGAAACAAATAATTAATTTTCTTGTTAAATGTGGAAGAAACGGAAATCTTGATGAGATTTCCGAAAAATGCCCAAGTTTTCCAATTCTGATTAATCATCCCATCACTAGTGTTTATGCAAATGTTGGTTGACAAAACTGAGAAGCTGACTTCAAAGAATATAATAGAATGAATAGGAAGAAATTGTGGCATTATCTGATCAAGTGAGATAAACTAATTACAGGTAACCCGCTGTATAACACGGCACTTCTATAGCACGTATTCACTCTAACACGGTTTGAGAATTGGGAACATTCCCTGTATAACACAGTGCTTTTATAGCACGGATTCACTGTAACACGGTTCGGGAATTGGGTAAAACCCTCGTACAACATGAAATGTAATCAAGGGTGCGTTCTTTTATACCTCCGCATAACTCAGTGCAAGCATTCTAATTGTTTTCGTGGCTACTTTGAATGCTCTTTCAGCAAATAATCCATTTAATGGTTAAATTTTACAATTGGGACCCTTCTCTTGCCTCTAAAAGCACATTTTAGAATTATAGATTCCTCCATCACGATACTATCGATAGTGCGGGCAGCATCATCTTTCTTTCACCGTCATTCCAAAATGCCTACAAACAGCAGCGCACTCCCATTGCAGAGCGACTGCTATTAACGAACGCACCCAAACACTATTACCAGTTGATGATGTTCATGCTTAGATCATCATATAGGATGAATAATCCTCTGGTAAAATATTTACTTAAATAATAAATATTTTACCTATGAAAAAAATGAATAATAAATCTGATTTAAATAAGGATTTAACAGCATGGTTTTTAATTTTTGGAACCTAACCCCCCTTTTTGCACTAGTTCTTTGTTTCGTATAACACGAATTCGCATAACATGGCAATTTTTTGGAACGTAGCTCCTGTGTTATACGGGGGTTATCTGTACTTGTTAGATGTGTGAGAGCAATGTATGAAAATAGCAGAGCAAGTTTACATGTAGATGGCAAAGTGTCAGAGAAATTTACAATTGAGGAGAGCGTAAGACAAGAGTATATTATGTTCCCTAGACTGTTAAATGTTTTCATGAATGCATGCATGAGGAAATCCCAAGTACATGAATATGGAATGAGAATTGGAAATGAACAAGTCTGTCATTTGTTGTATGCAGATGACACTGTACTGTTAGCAGAAAGCTTGGAAAACTTCACATTCTTGTATCTAATCTTGAAGAGGCATGTGAGGAATATATGCTGAAAGTGAATATTAGTAAAACTATTGTGTTTGAATGCAAAGGTGAGTAAAAGAATTACATAATTTAGCTGGGTGATGAACAACTGGAACAAGTAAATGAATTTGTATATTTGGGAAGCATGATGGGAATGGAAGGATAGATGGTAAAATCACCAGAAGAATAAATGCAGGAGTGTAGATAGTAGGTGCAATGAATAAATTTATGAGGGAGAAAAATATGCCCAAAGAGGTACAAATGATTGTATAATTTAAGGTGACCACACACGTTAAGGAAATCCTCTGAGGAATAACTGTGCAGGCCTGGCCTTGAGGAAATTCAGAATTTCCTATCGCCCACACAAGGAGGAAAATCTCTGTTAGTCAGTTGGCCATGCATCTGATGACGATGTACTGGCTGTTCTTGGATATTTATTGAAAACAAATTGTATTAAAACTTGAGGGAAAAACATGTGCATAGAAGTCTATGGTGTAAATAATAGTAGTAGTGGTATGGGTAGCACTGATCACAAAATTAATTTTTCATATGAATAATTTTTAATGGAATTATTTCAGATCACAAAATTAATTTTTCAAGAGAAATCTTGGGCTATAAATTTTGTTAAAAAGCATCAATTATCAGTGAAAGATCAATGGCAAGTCGATTTTACTACCAAAAAAATTCACGAATTAAATTTTATAGACGAAAAACCATCAGATATAACTGGCTGGATCGAACATAGTAAGTTACAAAACTTATTAAATTATTTCTCAACGTATAGAGAATTATTTTTATTTAAAGGTGGACAGATAGAAGAAAAAATTCCCTATTTTACTTTGTCATATTGTTAAAATATTATTTCAAATTGTCATGTTTTAATTTATTTGGATATTAAAACAATAAATTGTAATAAAATGTAAAAGAAAATGATGTTTTATGAAAACTGAAGAAATGAATTGAGAAGTTTTCTAAATATTAAAATTATTTATAATTTTAATTTTATAATTTTAATTTACTCGAAAAATTTTTGATCTGAAAATAATTTATAACCTAAAAAATTAATTTTTCAGGTTATAAATAACAAAAGTTAATAAGGTTATAGAAAATAATTCTTCCAAACATTCATGAGACATTGTTCTCATTACTTAGAGGCCTCACAACTGAACGTTATGGTTGGCCTGCGAAGTCCAAAACTGTGCAGGAAAATCAAATGGTTTTTCGTTTCTACTCTGGCAGCCTGTGCCGAAACTGTAGTTTTTTCCCCACACACTAGCAGGAATTCCTCAAGGCCAGGCCTGCACAGCTTTTTCTCAAAGGATTTCCTTAACATGTGTCCACCTTAAGGGAGTGCTGTCATGTCTGTATTTGCTCATGTATGGCAGAAAAGTCACAAGCGTCACATCACTGCATGGCAAATAAGATATTTATAGTAGTGTCGAGCATAACAAGGAAAGACTATATGAGAAATAGAACAAGTTCTGAAATAATGTCGTGTGAAAGTGTGTGGTTCAAAATATGAGTAAATAAGTTCTAGGATGGTTTGGTCACTTTGAGGGAATGAAAGGAGAAGAATTGTTGAAGAGATTATACATCAGAAGGATGGATAGAAAGCATGGTAGGGGAAGACCGAGAACAAGTCTTAATTGGAACAAGTGGATGAGTATTTAAAAAAACAAGTTGAGTCAGAAAAAATTGGAAAGTGTGCTAGAAGAGGCATGAACGTGTCTGAAGCAAAAGGTGTGTGTCTGGACAGGAAAGTGTGGAGAAAGTCACTGAATGGCTGATTTGTAGGGTTGAGTCTCCTGTTGTCTGTTTCAGATCACAAGTGTGAGGGTGTGTATGTATGCATGCATGCATATAAAAAAACATTAATAAAAAATCTATGTAATAATTCTATAATAGAAATAAATAATAATATTCTATTTATTAAAAATTATTTCTAAAAATATACTTGTTATTCAGATATTTGTAGCAAGATTTAAAATGTAATTTAAGTACTAACCTTATATTTTGTGAACATCTTTAACATTAAATTACATTAAGAATATACTTATAAAATTTTTTCAAAATAAATCAATATATTTTTATATCCTTACTACTTTAAAAATGTTTAGATTATTAAAAATAAACTTTACCGAAGATCTTCTTTTCCCTGGTGGATTAGACCTGAAATATATTCAACACCATTAAAATATTATTTCTGTATCAAGAAAATCTGTATTTAAATACATCGGCTTGCTTTTTTTCAACATAGTGTAAATTTTTAAAGGTATACAGTATATGACTACATGATTAACAAAGCAAATAGATTGTATAAGATTATTATTCATGAAACTACTTTTACCCAGCTATTTAAGTAGCTAGAAAAACACAGTTTGAGATTAGAATAAAGTAGAAATATAGTAATCAAACACGTGACCATTTAAACCATCAGTGGCACACTTTAAAATAGATGAGGACCAGAAATTGATAAGCATGTTATCAACAGGACAGAACTAATATACAGTATTTACTCGTATATAAGACAAAGTGAGACTTTAATAATTTAAAGATCGAAATAAAGAAAATTAGACTTATTAATACAATTCTAATTTTATTTCATTTAATCACAAGTAAAATATCAAATTAATGTAAATGAACACATTGTCCCGCAAAAATTACTGGCATTTTAAACTTTAAGGAAAAATCCTGTAAAATCGACAACATAATTTGTTCATGTAAAGCTAGACAATTGGGCACCTTTTTTGCCAATTCTTTACTGTTGAATTCACTCTCCATCAATTACGCTTATGAGTTTTCCAAATTCTGATTTCTGAATAATCATCTGTTTTCACGTGGGAATGGATTAAAACTTATATCATGCACCCGTATAATTTTGTAATTTCAATCTGAAATTCAATTCAAAAACTGTTTTTCCTATTGCTATTCATCTTTACTACTGACAATATACAAGAACGATTCAAATGACCCAAATAAAATACTTATGTTTTTAAATACAAGAGGGTAAGTATCAGGTAAAAAATGCAAATATACACAATTCACAAAAATTATCTGCAAAAACACACAAAATTTTTCGCTCGCACATATAGGACAGCCTAGGAATTTGAAGCTGTGATAAATGAATAAAAACCTATCTTATATGCAAGTAAATATGGTATTTAGAACTTAAGAAAAGCTAATGTTATATTTATGTTATTTTAATAATGGAAATAAAAAAGAAGAATCAAATTATTATATTCAAAGTTTAATATTTATTTTGTAATGAGCATAAAACAAAATAATAATATATTATCATGTTATTTTTAATGAGAGCATTACAATCTCTCAAATTCAACTCAGATTCAAAGAATAAATATATCAAATGAAGAAAATCTCATGATACCATTCTTCTAGTCATCACACAAATTAATTAGATGCTAATTTTATCTAATAGTGAAAAGGCATAAGCTATTTTAATTTCTTCAGTGTTACTACATAACAGATCAAATTGAAATTATTAGTTTCTGGATTAAAGGTAATTTTGATTTTTCTGCATGGATAGACATATATGTCTAATATGAAGTATATCATGAATGAAATGTATGAAATCTTTTGGTTCCATCCATACTACTCGGTATAATATTCAAGCTTTTTATCTACTGAGGTGATAGGTTTACATGTAGTTTTATATAGCTGTCCCCCTGCCAACAACTGTTTATAATATTTCCTATTTTAAAAATTTTCTCATTAAATGGTGATTGATGTTAAAATTAAAATTTTAACTTTAACATAAATCATCACCTAACAAAAAAATTTTTTAAATTGGAATGTTATCTGTTATAAGACGAGTCTGAATTTTCTTTTCAATAGGATATAACAACTTAATCCTTAAACCATAAATTTTCATTCAATCTTTTCCTGTCCATGTGCAGCTTTCAAAGAAACTGGTAAATTTTACATAACCCTAAAGGCCTAAACATCCAAAATATAAACAGTTAAAGAATTTTGTCAAACAAGTTTTCAAGTAATTTAATATTTTAAAATAATTTACAGTAATACCTTGACTTACGCTACCCCGACTTACACGAACCCGGAGTTACGCAATTTTCAAAACTCATCGATTCGTCTTTTGTTTGAGTGCACGCAACTCTTGATTACTCACTCTCCCCACACTATTGTTCAGCTTACATGTTCGGACGTGTCGTGCGAAATCGACACATAGCTACAATTTATTTTGTGTTATTTATTTCTGTGTTTGTTATATCTATAGAGACTTGAGAGACTCTATGTGGTGATTTCTTGTAACCATGAACAAATCAAAAGACGAGATAAGATTAATGAGAACATTTATTAGCTTACATACATCCGACTTGGATTTTACATAAATTGAGAAATTATACCCCGACTTACGCGAATTCGACTTACGCTGTTATCGCGCGGTCCCACCTATCGCGTAAGTTCGGGTATTACTGTATAATAATAAATTGTTTTGTAATTAACTATTACACAATAAGTACAATGACAAGTGTTCACAATGCTATAGTTTATCCAAGGAAATCATCATCAGATCTGCATTCTAAATTCATCAATATATTTCAGAAATAAAGTAAAAGCAAGCTAAAACCGATTTAAATTCTGTTAAACATGAAAACAATTTTTTCATGTTTAACAGAATGTTTTCTTTGGACATACATAAAAAAACTGCTTATATAAGTAACAGGAATAATCTTATTACTAATTAATAATTAATGTGACAGCTATGCTTATTTTAGTTTGCACAATTTCTCAAATTGGTACCACTAAAGATAAATAAAAACATTAATCTGGTTCAAATTTCAGTCTATTTCTATCTTTAGTTTTCAGATTTATATGCAATAAAAATGCTTTTTCACATATGGTATGCCCTATTGCAGGGGTTGGCAACCTATGGCACATGGGACGATTTTCAGTGGCACTCTGAATAGAAATGCAGTAAAAATTATATTTTTGTGGTGGCGTGGAGGACAAAAAAAGGATGACAAAGAAGTAACCATAAATTAAACAGGATATTTATTCAACTACAGCTACGTAGTCCTTCGTACACCTGGTTCGTTTACACTAAACACTTGATCCCAAACTATAGTACGCGCACAAGTTCGAATCCGTCCGACAAAATTCTATGTTTTCACAAGCAGAAGACACGTGCTCGCGACAATAAAAAATTATGGTTTGAGATACTACAACTAACTTAAATCTACCTTAATCTAGCTTATATGCTAAGGAAGAAGGGTGAAGAAATTAAGAGATATGAAGAGAAGAGATAAGTATAAAGGACAGATTTTGTGGGGGTACCCGGGTAAACTTGGGAGTCTCCGATCTTCTCTATATCGGTACTTGAATCAATTTCCTTCCTCTTGTTTCCGTCTCTTGAGAATTCGAGAGCGTTTTTGAAGTCTTAATCTGGGTGTCCTTCTAATTTTCGTCCATTCGCAGACCACTTCCAAGCCTTCTCTTTTACTTTGTCCCATTAGGCGACAAACCTCTAGCTTGCTCTTTCCTACGTCTGCACACCTCGGACACTGACCCCAAAAGTGTCTTGTTCATTTTTCTGATGGCCTCAGGGCTTCTTAATGTCCCCTTTTGTCTTCTCCCTTTGTCCTTGGACAAAGGTCCCCCACCCATAGAAAAAGAATAGGTTAGAAAGTTTTAGAAACATGTTAAAGACAAAGGAATTTAGGAGAAATAAAACTTACATCTACCCCTATTTACAAAGACATGGCATACCGCCACATTTTAATTATTAATTACATATTTAAACGGAAACCATAATTCAGTGGAGGCCATGGTACAGTAAAAACGAATCTCTTATCTGTATATTTATACTACAATGCATGCGTTTACATCCATATCACCATCTCCGTGTTGTGCATGCACTTCATGTGTAAGAACATAATTCAATTAACAAATTAACTTCAAAACTGTATATTTTTAAGTCCATTATAACCGGATCAATTTCGATAATACTGTACATATAACAAAATTGGTAGAATCATATTGGCACCCAGTATAAATTAGGTTCGACACTACACCGCTGAAAGATTACCGACCCCTGCTCTATCATATATGGCATGTAGTTGTAAATGGCTACAGGACAGTTGCTTTGTCTGTCAATGATGAATATCCATTTATTAAAGAAATTCAAAAATTAATTTCTCCATTATCATTGATTTTTAATTATTAACTTGGAATTTACTTTAATAACATAAGCAACAAGTTAGTCAATAGAACTAAAAACAAAGTAATTGAAGTCACTTTCAAAAATCTATTGATATCATAAAGTCTAAAAAAATGAAAGTTGGGTTAAAAAACTTGAATTGCTTAAGTATAAGCTCTTTTAAATTGAAAAACTACTGATTTAAAATTACATTTGGTATTCATTATAGATTTTTTGTTTTGCATATTCTTGAAAGTATTTCATTTAACCCAAGAGGAACCCCATACCACAGATTGGGAAATACTACCCTAAGCAGAACTAAGTATAATTCTTAAATTCAAATATTGATATATAAATTATAGTATATATGTTCAAATACATAGAAATTCAGTAATATCTTTGTTCCTTTAATTTCCTAGACTTCATTCTTAAACTATAATTTTAAAAGTTTAAAACTTTTACAGTGACAAAAATATATATAGTTCTTATTTTATTTACATAGAAAATGGACCTTGTTACTTATTTAAACAAATACAATAATTACAGATAATATAAACAAATTAGATAGACGTTACTTTTGGGTTTTATATACATAAATATACACACATAGTGACAGACTTTCCAGGCCCTAGGTACAGAAGATTGAGGCCCTTCTGTACACTTTTACGTCATAAACCAACGTCTAAGTATAGCTACCCAAGAATTATTTAAAAACTGATACACAATTGCAACAGTACAACTGATTTTCGAATTTACAAACACCCATACGCGGGGCTTCCGCTTCACGTGCCTAATGGAAGATCCGACATTATACATACACATGTAAGTAAACAAGTAACTTCTATCTTTCAATTCTTAATTACAAAATTGTAACACTTATTTATAACTGCAAGTAATCTAAATACCTGTCATTTTCTTTGTCAGGAAGGATAATATTCAGACAATTTTCGTTCATCTTAGCAAATTAATACCGCTTAACAAACATTCCCCTAAAAAGAAAGAAAACGTTAGATTTGAATTTTCCGCTCTACAGCGCCACCTAAGAATTTTACTTTCATTGTATGATTTTTTTTTTCTTTTGTAAAAATAAATATTATAACACTATTTTGTAATATTGAAATATTTATCACGCGTTTTAAATTAAGAATTAATATATTACGATACATCGATAATTTTGTTTATTTCTAGCTCTTGTCTGAATAAATTTCATCTTAAATCTACGAGAAAAATATTTCTTCTGCAAAAGAAATCAAATAAAAATTAAAAGAAAAAGAAAAAATTGTTAAATCTATACTTTTTAAAAAATTTTTAGCTCTTTCCGCCCTATGAGTACTTTTATCGAGGCCTTTTTTTAGAACCCTAGAACCGTGGGCTGCGCTCGACCATCCGGCCGTCTAAATCTTTACGTAAAGACACAGAACCGTAGTCAAAACTCGTTTTCCGTAGTTTGCTTAATAGGCTTATTAAATATTTACATGCAAATAAAATATATATTTATAGTTTTCGGACAAAATACTGTCATTTTCACAATTTCAATGCACTATACAGGGGTCGGCAACTTAAGGCACGCGGGACGATTTTCAGTGACACTCTGATTAAATAGAAATTAACAAAAATTATATTTTAATTATTTATTTTTGAAGTCCGTTTGAATTTTGATACTATATATAAAAAACTTGGTAGAATTATGTCGTCACCCGAAATAACACTATAACTTAGGTTCGGCACAACACCGCTGTAAGATTGCAGACCCCTGCACTATACTATAAATCAGTGCCGGCCCGAGGCAAGTTTTAGGATGGAGCGAGATCCTATTTTGGCGCCCCCCGAAAATATCGAAAAGTGAAAAAAAAATTTTCCTTTATATTTTTTTTACCACTGAGGCGCCTCCTAGGACTTAGCGCCTGGAGCGTCTGCTCCGTTCGCCCTATGGTAGGGTCGGCTCTGCTATAAATTAAGTTATACAGGGTTTGTCCAATAAATATCGAGTTTGATTTTTTCCTGCAGCAGCGTTAAATTGAACAAATCTGCTACTGAGACTTTGGATATGATCCGTGAGGCTTACAATGACGAAGCCATGTCCAAAACGCGTGTTTTTGAGTGGCATAAAGATGCCCGGTAGACGTCGAAGAACAACGTGCTGGACGTCCGACAACGACCTAAGCCGAAGAAAATGTGGCCAAAGAGTGAAAAATTGAGGATTAGGATTCGCCGCGTCCGATAAAAGATCGCCGATACCTGGATGCTCCATCACGACAATGCTCCCAGTCACACATTGCTAATTGTGAGGGAGACACTGGCCAAACACAACGTGTCAACATTGCCCCAACCACTTTACAGTCCAGATGTGGCTCCCCGATTTCTTTTTGTTCCTTCGTATCAAAAGAGCCTGAAAGGACATCGTTTCGGGACGATTGAGGCGGTCCAAGCGGTTTCGACGGGGTGCCTGAACAGCCTTGCGGTTGCCGCCTTCCAGGAGGCGTATGAACATTGGAAAAAGCGTTGGCAGTGGTGTATTGATGCAGGAGATCATATTTTGAAGATTATTAGCTCACTGTACAGTACATATATCTTCAATAATTTTCATTTTTGACTTTTCCTCCCTGTGGTCAGTAAGTGGCAGGGCCGGATCATCGCATAGACAAATGAGACAAATGTCTAGGGCCCGGTTTTTAGAAGGGCCCGATCAAACTGTCTATTTTGAAAAGATTTGTAAATAAAATAGTTTACTTTTCTGTTGGACAACAGTATATAATAAACAATAAACAAAAATATATTGCTTTTTATATGGTTATTGTGAATTCTAAAATCTAAAGAAAATGTACGTGGGTTGTTCAAAAAGTTCCCTAACTTTTTGAATAGCGCGCCTCCAGTTTGTTATTTTTTAATCCGCTTGGAGGCGTTGTGTTCGCGGAAACTCCCCGAGTAGTCTCCTTCAACCCGTTTGTTGATATCTTGTTTTGGTGATTAGCTACGGCCGTTTATGTGAAGTGGTGTTTGTAGGGTTCGGCGAAAATTCTGATCCGCGGAAATCAGCTCTTTGAAAGAACAGCATTGTTCTGTGAAATTCTGTGTGAAACTCGGAAAATCCTTCACGGAAACTTTCCACGGGTGGGTGAAACAGCCCCCGCACCAAAACAGCTCGACAAGTTCGCTCAAATGTTAAGGTGATGTTGACTGTTTTTTCGATGCAAAGGAGGTTGTACTGTACATCACGAATACCTACCTACAGGCCAGACAGTCAATACGGAGTACTACCTGGTGTTATGAAACGTCTAAAGCCTGGTACTCACATGCGGCAACGAACGACGGAAACAGTTGCCGTTCCGTCGTCTTTCCGTGTCGCGTGTACTCACATGCGGAAATTACCCTACAATTGAAACGCGCCATCTGCCAGCCGTAAATATAAACAAGCTACTACAGTAGGTAGGCCACAAGGTCTTAGATTATCTAAGACCTTGGGTAGGCCACGTGCCAGTAGTCGAAAATGGCGTCTATCGGGATTGCTTTGTTATATCAATTAAACTTTTTAAGTTTGCCTTCGATATTATCGCAAATAAAAAAAACCTCAAAAACGAATAATTTGGATAGGAAAAATATTCTAAATCGTCGAAAGTTAGGAATATCGAATACTTTCGTCGCCGAATTACGCTTACTCCATTCCCAATACTTTACGCAGTAAGTAAGTCTATTTGACATTAACGTTTAAATCGGATAGTAATATAGAGTATAAATGAAATATATTAGCGTATTAGGGTGCAAATAAAGCTTTTTAGCTTGCCGACCGCCATAGTTCAAATGCTATCGTCCCACGTGATCTTTATGACGACATTACTAAACGGTCTTCCTATTGGTCTAATTTAAACCGTGCCGCTTTCCGTCGCGGCAAAAGTCGAAAATTTTCAACTTCGTATTCCGTCGACGTCGACGGCAAAAGTGACGTCATTTTGCCGGTCCGTCGACCGTTTCCGTCGTTCGTTGCCGCATGTGGGTACCAGGCTTAAGAGACAAAATCAGGCGAGAACGGCCCGAACTTTGGAGGAGCGGCAAGTTGTTTTTTCACCACGACAACGCATCGGCTCATTTGTCCCTCAGAACACGAGTTTTTGGAGAAAAACAAGACCGCTGTGCTTCCCCACCCACCCTACTCACCTGACCTCACTCTTTTCGTGTTCTCCAACAAACTAAAAAACACGATCAAATAAAAAAAGATTTGCCACCATTCCAGAGATAGAAAAAAAAACGACGGAGGAGCTTATGAGCATTCCGGAAAAAGCGTTCCAAGATGGTTCAAAAAGTGGAAACACCGTTGAAATAAGTGTATATGTTACGGAGGAGACTACTTTGAAGGGGACCCTGACAAATAAATTGTATGTGTAGTATTTTTTTTTTTTTTTGTAATAAATAAAGTTCGGGAACTTTTTGAACAACCCTCGTATTCTTATGTTTCTTCTTATTGAAAGTAAAACTCCCAANCCTATTTGTCTAATTTTTACCGTGCCGCTTTCCGTCGCGGCAAAAGTCGAAAATTTTCAACTTCGTATTCCGTCGACGTCGACGGCAAAAGTGACGTCATTTTGCCGGTCCGTCGACCGTTTCCGTCGTTCGTTGCCGCATGTGGGTACCAGGCTTAAGGGTGCGACTATGCATACGAGAGCGAGCGAATTTTCCGAGTGAGCGAGAATATGTGGCGAGACGCGATAAATATGAAAACTTGTCAGATATGTGCGAGAACCAGAAATTCGCTCTTGCCAGCGTTATTTCTCGCTTCTCGTTTGTGCATGGATATTCTTTGCGAAAACTAAATCGCTCGCAACCTCTCGCTCGCTCTAAATTCGCGTCTGCATAGTCGCACCCTAAGAGACAAAATCAGGCGAGAACGGCCCGAACTTTGGAGGAGCGGCAAGTTGTTTTTTCACCACGACAACGCACCGGCTCATTTGTCCCTCAGAACACGAGTTTTTGGACAAAAACAAGACCGCTGTGCTTCCACACCCACCCTACTCACCTGACCTGGCCCCATGCGACTTTTTCGTGTTCTCCAACAAACTAAAAAACACGCTCAAATAAAAAAAGATTTGCCACCATTCCAGAGATAAAAAAAAACGACGGAGGAGCTTATGAGCATTCCGGAAAAAGCGTTCCAAGATGGTTCAAAAAGTGGAAACACCGTAAAAAAGTGGAAATAAGTGTATATGTTACGGAGGAGACTACTTTGAAGGGGACCCTGACAAATAAATTGTATGTGTAGTATTTTTTTTTTGTAATAAATAAAGTTCGGAAACTTTTTGAACAACCCTCGTATTCTTATGTTTCTTCTTATTGAAAGTAAAACTCCCAATAATCTAGAATATTCTTTATAGCGATAAGAATAATATTAACTATATGTATTCTTAAATCCTGTGAAATATTGTTAAATAATTTTGCTTTTATTTTTTATAAAGCAGCTGCAGTGTCCGTATGAAATTTAATAGAAATAATAGTAACAAGATTTATTAATTGAAAGAGCCGGGAGGGGACCCGGAAGAAGAAAATGTCTAGGGCCCCAAAGTGGGTTAATCCGGCCCTGCTCTGGAGGCATATTTACTTAATAACCAAAATGGCGTCGAACGGATGAAGGTGAATGAGGGTTGTTATTCGAAGTCAGACACTTTCTGAAAGTGTAAAATTATACATTTCAAAAAACTTTGAGGAAATTGTCGAGATATAGCAATTAATTCGTCGTAATTGTGGTTGTTTGGCTAATTCACCAGATTGTTTAATCGGAAGTTTAACATTGTGCTCAAAATGTATCGATCGGTAACCCATATCAATGACGTCTGTTACCGATATCGCTTCTCTCACGGGTTAGTATTTCCGAACAATCCTAAGTAAACATAAAAAGAACGTCTCTCATTAGTTTCGACGTCTTTACATGTATCTTCGATGATTGGCTGATTTTTGCAAGACGGTGTCGTTCCGTAGAAAAGTAGAATTAAATTAACGTCCCGTCTAATAGGCCGAAAAAAAAACTGAAGAAACAATACTTTAAAAGATTTCATATAAATGAAAGTAGTGCAATACAGTAATATNTCCGTATGAAATATAATAGAAATAATAGTAACAAGATTTATTAATTGAAAGAGCCGGGAGGGAACCCGGAAGAAGAAAATGTCTAGGGCCCCAAAGTGGGTTAATCCGGCCCTGCTCTGGAGGCATATTTACTTAATAACCAAAATGGCGTCGAACGGATGAAGGTGAATGAGGGTTGTTATTCGAAGTCAGACACTTTCTGAAAGTGTAAAATTATACATTTCAAAAAACTTTGAGGAAATTGTCGAGATATAGCAATTAATTCGTCGTAATTGTGGTTGTTTGGCTAATTCACCAGATTGTTTAATCGGAAGTTTAACATTGTGCTCAAAATGTATCGATCGGTAACCCATATCAATGACGTCTGTTACCGATATCGCTTCTCTCACGGGTTAGTATTTCCGAACAATCCTAAGTAAACATAAAAAGAACGTCTCTCATTAGTTTCGACGTCTTTACATGTATCTTCGATGATTGGCTGATTTTTGCAAGACGGTGTCGTTCCGTAGAAAAGTAGAATTAAATTAACGTCCCGTCTAATAGGCCGAAAAAAAAACTGAAGAAACAATACTTTAAAAGATTTCATATAAATGAAAGTAGTGCAATACAGTAATATCGTGTGAGATAAAAGATTACCAGGAGTGTTAACGATTTTATCCGCTCGGCCATTAGGTCTTTCGGCTGGCCCCCTCGTAAAGTAAGGACGGAGATGTTGTGGTTCTTTATTCGGTGTATTCGTCTTCGTTGGCTAACTATTATCAACTATATACTTCACACCTTTTAGTATCTTCGGGCGGAAAGAATAAAAAAGTAATGATATCTATTTCGATACGTCACAATCGTCATAATGTCGTCACTGATACATCAAAATAAGTACCGATGACGTCATTAGCGTCGTGCATAGAAAAACTGTGATATCATTTATTTCCTATCTTAAATTTCTTATCAAATTGTGCCGAGAAAGTTAAGCGACTCGTTACCGGATTTCTTAATGTAGACATATTAATTTTTAATATAAATGAATGTAGGTAGCCTATACAACTCACGTAAGTATGTTTTCTTTCGTAATCTGCTTCTATAAATCTGTATTGCATAAAAAGTAAGACCTCATAAACATTTGTTTATTTAATTTTATTACCACCTACAATATAAAATATCTACGACTCAATTTTAGAACTTTATGGACAAAATACATTTGTTAAATTCACATTGAAAACATAACTTGAAAGAAAATTAAACATGGATTTTATAATAATTATGAAAAAGTAATAACAAAATATAGGACTATATAACAAAGAAATTAGTCGAACCATTTCGACTTGTAAAATATGTCGTGTGTAAAAAGTTATTTAGTTTTTAACTGGATTTTGAACTACGGTAGAAATTTCTGGTTCTTTAATCGAGGAATAATTTGCATATCTCTGACATCATGGTGGTTCAAAAGCCAACATAAATACCTTTCTGAGCCTAAACCCCATCCGCTCGTTTTTAAAGGTTTTACTTGTCTCATATTTATGTACCACCTGTACGATTCTTCCGAAACTTGATGATGTGTCAAGGCATCTTTCACTTCTTTAGCGGTTTCGTGTCGCTCTCCGAGACCCAGTGATTCTCCGATTCCAATAAGGAGATCTGCTGCTTTAGCCTTACGGAAATTTGTCCCTTCAACATAAGCTTGATAGAAAGGAACACTCAAATGATCCATCTCTGTTAACCAAACGATGCCATGATATTTATTTATCAAAACCTGTTCGCCTTTTCTTGTCAATTTCCTCCCTAACTCCGGTCTTGTTTCTTCCACAAATTCAAAACAATCGGTGGAAGGCAATTCTTTCAGTGCTTCGTCTAAAGTGATTCTTGGAAAACATTTTTTAATTTCATATCTTTTCAACATATCTTCAATATGAGCAATGCTTCCTGATAATTTGAGGATTATTTCTTTATTTTTGTTAAACATGTTTTTAGTGATGTAATAAATATATTGTTCAGCTATACAAATAGCATCGTCCATAGAACCACATAGTTCGCATTCGATATGATAAAATTGATTGAGATGACTGTTATCTGGGTTTTCTCCACGAAAACTTGGCGAGATATAATAAGTTCCTGGAAGATTATCTTGCAATCTAAGAAAATATTCTAAACAAAACTGCATTGAATCAGCCAAATAAACATTTTGATTCATTAAATTTATATTCACAGGATCTGAATCAGACCCTAATCCCATGGGTGACGATATTGTATCCGTAGTCATTGGAGTAAGAGCATAATAATAGTTATTATATTGATGAAAAAAACTAACAGTTGAATGATAAAGTGTATTCTGGAGTTTAAAAATTGCTGAATACCAAGGATGAGTAATTGCGGTAATAGAGTGCTGCTCCGGATTTTTCCATGAGGCTGGAGCAACTATCGAAATAATTTTTTTGTAAACTACATTCAAATCATCATTATGTGCTTTTGGACCATCCTGAGATGATACATGCCCCGAATAATTGACTTCAAACTCTTTTGTTTTCGATTTTTCTGTTTCTTTCTCTCCATTTAATAAAGGAATCAGTTTTACGTGAGCGTAATCTATTTCACATCCTTCAAATATCATAGCACATGACTTAATTTCCAGAGCCTTCATCAATAAATTAGAAACTTTGTGAGTTGCTACCATTAATTTTTCAAAATCCGGTTTATCTAATGCAAAAATATTACTGTCCAAATGTTTTCTTGGAACTAAAACTGTGAAACCAGGTGTATTTGGAAATGGAGTTAGGAAAGCAACGTGATCTTCATCTTCCCATACTCTCCACTGGGCTTTCTCGTCACCTCTTACAATTTTTGCAAAAAGATTGTCGTCGTTTGCATCTCCATAAAATTTAAAATTTAATTCCTGCGAATCTAATTTATTTCTTATTTTATTTTGAATTTTGTTCAGTTCGTCATCAGAAGCTCTAGGTCCATTTTTAGAAGTACAGTAACCTGGATAGCAAGAATTAAACTCTGGTTCTGAACAGATACATGGTTTCCAGGCATCGGAGAGACCGTGAAGCGGAATTAGAAGAATTTTTGTTGACTGACCATCCTGTGGTTCCGCAATCAATGCACACCGTTGTACACCGAGTCGATCACAAAGAAGATTAGATACATGTTGAATATCCAACATTATTTTAACAAATTCGTGTATTGGAAGTGCAAAAATATCATAAACGAATTCAGATTTTGCCCGTAGTATAGTAACACCAGTAGTACAGGGAGAAGAGTGTAGATAAGCAACAATACGATCATTTTCAAAGATAATCCATTCATGCGCATCAGTATTTTTACTTCTGACTTTAACATCAAACTTATCTCCATTATAAGATGCTGCAAACATAACTTTGGCATTACTTTCTACGCTGACATTTCCTTTTGAGTCAACGCCTATAACTCCACCATAGGAACTTTGCAGTTCATCTTGAATAACTACTTGAGAAGCATCTTGTAAAGAAAAATTCATATACTTGCAAAGCATGGCAATTTTATTAGCAATGGATTTTCTGAGAAAAGTTTCTCCATCTCCAGTGCACGCCAGCGCAATATTTTGATCTGCATACACTCCGGCTCCAACAATTGCAGTATCTCCTATTCTACCTTTTAATTTGTTAACTATTCCTCCAGTCGAAGAAGCAGCTGCCAAATTGCCATCTGCATCCTTTGCAACAGCTCCAACTGTCTGAGGATGATTTACAGAGAAACTCTGCAATTTCGATTTAATCATCATTAGTTGTTTGTATCTAATATCAGTATCGAAATAATTATTTTTCACTTGACATATATTGTTATCAATACAAATGGATTTGTCCAGTGTACCTATTTAAAAGGGAAAAAATACATATTAACATTTAAATATTTAATTTAATTTATAAATTACATTATTTGTTTCGTTTATTGATTAATTTTCTAATTAAAATAACAAAAATTTTTGGCAATTGTTTGTTATCTGAACAATAAATGCTATGTTGTCTATACTGTACATGAAATGTATAAACAACCAACAATTATTTATTGTAACATGATCACAATGTCGAGCTGCAACTTTTTAATCATGTTTTTAATTAATTTAATTTAAAATACAAAGGCAAGCCATTAATAGTTTGAGGTGGAGGGAATTCGCCACCTCAAACTAGTAGTGGCTTGCCCCTGTATCTCATACTTTTCCGTTAGAAATGGAGTTGTGCCAGTCATCTAACTCCTTTTGAAGGAATATTTTTAAATTGAAATAATGCAACTCCCAGTTTGCATCGGAAGTTCATATATATACTGTATATAGTTAATCTGGGCCTCGTGCCTATAAGCTTTTCATATCTGGTCTCGTCTTTAACTATCCAACTCTGTTCTTGAAATTAAGGAAAGACAGACAGAAGGACAACAGTGGGAATTTACAAGTTTTTCAAATTGCAACCCAACAAATAGATATAAATATTTATTTTATGAAAATTTTCTTGCATAAAAATAGATAAAACAGAATATGATGATAGTTATACTGAGAATAAATAAATAGAAATATGAAAAACAAACAATTACACGTTTGCCTTTCTATCGTATTTGAGTTTAAATATTCTATCATCATCTAAATTGAGAATTAATCGATAATTAAAAATGCATACAGGCAAAATATCATTATTTTTATTAACCGGAAACAATTTTTAAATATAAACACACAAACAAATATGCGTGAAATTTTTGTGAGGAAAAAATTACAGAAACAGTTAATAGAAAAAATTACAGATTAAAAGAGAAAAAATTAATAATAATTACACAGTTTTTAGTACCCTATTTTAAACACCAGAAAGAAAACATACAATTAAGGAAAGGAAAAAAACAAGGGTGAAAGGAAGTGGAGCTGTAAAATGCACTTTGGAACTGAAGATGATTAAATGCGGAAAATGTAATTCTAGTGGAGAAATGCAAACAAATGCAGAATAATTATTATTCTGCATCTGTTTGTTGTATGGTAAAAACCTTGACGGCTGTTTTAAAAAATGGATAAGATCATCATCAAAAAGTGTAAGTGGAATTCTTATCTATGTGTATTCATTTGTGTAAAAAGATGTACAGTTACTGACAACTTGTATAGGGGCTGATGAGGAACAAGAAGGTTCGAAATGCATTCTCCAGATAATATAAACCAATAAATGTTGATTTTCTAATCGGGCAATATTTCCTATTCTGTGTTTAATAAGTCTGGTATCGCAACGGATGTTGATGGGCGTAAACTAGCAGACCTAAAGCAAATAGAAGTAACAGGAAAGAAAATGTATAATTAAATAATTTCAATTAAGCATGACAGTAAAAGGCTTCATATAATCCAAAACTTCATGATATATTAAGAGTATGGAAACTTCTATTTTAAAATTTCAAGAACGCCGCATAGGATTATGCTGTATAGGACAAAATATTGTATATAAAGTAATCAGAAATACATATTAATATAGTTCAATATAAAAATTTGCAGCACTTTCATGAAAAGATTACTTAAATTGACTTAAAATTTAATTTAATTTAAAATAAAGAAAGTAATTTTAAAAATAATATATTAATAGTATACAGTATACGTCTATAAGTCATAAAATATCTCTTAAATACAAATTTCATAAAGTAATAAAAAATATATTAATTAAAAAAATAGGAATTTACCTGAAATTAAAGCATGAGATGACTTTTCCATAATAAGTCTAGCAGCTTTTATAGGATTTTTTATGTCAGTAATACATGCAACAGAACCAGAATTTTGGGATTTTCCATCTATTATCGAAGCTTCCAATTCGTGAGCACCATCATAATTATAAACAGCACCTCGTCCAGCATTAAATAAAAAGCAGTTTTCTAATGCTGCGACTGCAGCTTCTACCGCATCTACACTACTTTTGCCGTTATTAAGCATGCTGACACCAACAACTACAGCTATTCGAAGAGAAAATTTTATAACTTCTATAACGTCTTGTTGAAGTAATAACTCTTCTCCGGCTCCTCCGTGAACAGCGATAGAAAATTTCTTTTTGGGAATTATATCAAAAGGATTATTTGATCTGAACAAGTATAAAGCATTCATTTGAGATGCAATCGCAGCACGGGATGCAATATTCAACATTAAATGTAATGATTTTTGGAAGTTTTCTTTCAGGGTATTTAGTTTTTCGACAAATATTCCAGTAGCAGACATAATAATTATTATTCTGTCTCTTTTTCCCACATAACCAACTACAATTTGATCCGAAGCATATACATTACCAACTCCACATTCGACTTCTTCTAATAATTCAGAGCCAGTAAGGTATATATGCGGTTTTGCAAATTTTTCTAGACACGAAGTCAATCCATTGCCGTCTTCTTTCAACATTTTTCTGATTTGAGCTATATGAGGGCCAATTCCTTTGCCATTTTTGGTAAATTTGACCATTTTCCTGTGCTCCTCTAAAGCAGCAACGAACTGAATTAAAACATTAGTATTATCCTCGTTATTTAACATATAATTCAATAATTTATTTGAATTTATCGTTATCGAATAAGTCGGATCGCTTCGTCCGTGTTTAAAGTGACGAACGTGCGTTGGAGTGACCATAAGATATTTTAAATTGCCAAAAGTTTTGAGTATAGCCAATTGCAATGAATAATTAATCCATGGAAAGTAAATTCGCTCTTCTCTAAGTATTTTAAAGATATCCGGATACGAGCGATATTCGAATGTACTCATTGAATGATTATATTGAAGAGGTACTTTAGAAATATTTTCTCGGATTTTAAAATCGATTATGTTGACAGTACGTTGTTTGAATACAGTTCTATCGATTATAAGTGTTTCACAAATGGTATGCAATAATTTTGCCATCATGGCGACTATCAATCCATCCACTGCAGAATGTTCAAATAACAAGCCATATTTGCCGTTTTTAAAGACTATAACGTTTAAAATTTTATCGTAATATCTCATACAACTAATTTCTTCGTCTCCTCCAAGTCTTATATAATCCATGGCATTTTGCATTCCGTCTGGCATGTCGATCTCTTCGACAGCTACAGTCACTATAGCTCTCTCCATAATGTCCAACGATTTTTGTGAATCGCCTTAAAATAAAATAAATAATTTACAAAAAACTAAAGTAACTATAAATCTATTTTCATTTTAAACTATTTTATATGAACTCGTTATTTTCTAAAGTATTTTACATCGATACTTTGAGAGTTGATGTTGTTGTATTCGTGTCAATTTTCATATATGGGCAGGCCCGTCTTTAGGTGTGGGCCTACCGGGCCTAGGACCAGGGATCTCCAGACATTGAGAGCCTCCTAACATTCGAGACCCCGAAAATACACAAAATTGAATAGAGCAACAAATAATAAAAATTATTATAAACAGTAATCAATCAAAAGTAACAATATGAAACACGTTTTTCTGTCAACTTAAATTAAGAAATGAAATTAGAATCAACTTTAGTTAGCAGAAAAAGCTAATTGAAAAAATATATGAACATTAACCCTCCATTACGAATTCCTTAAGGAGGCCTCCAAGCTTTTCTTGGCCCTGGGCCTCGCACGTACCAAAGGCGGGCCTGGATATGAGTGTATTTTATGTAAGTAATCTGATGATTTTTTTAAGTTTTAAAAGTGTAAAATATAATGCAATTACCGTAAAATAGATTTTATTTTAAAAAATATAGTTACCTTCTAAAAGACGAGTTCGTATATCGCTCCATACGTTTCGATCATAAGCTGTGTAATTGCAGATTTCTTGATAAAATGGGCCATCGTATAACGAAATACTAATAATTTGATCATAAATATCTTGAATCGAGACTAATTCTCCGTCATCAGTTAAAATATCAATTTGAAATGCAGAACCTTTGTATAAAAGAACAGCGTGCCTACTACCTTTATAAACTTTTATATTGTCCGTGTCTCGGAGAGGAATTCTAACAGTCGAAAAAATTTCTGATTGTTGAGTATCTTCCAAATCATTGCCTTGAAGTTGCTTAATAAATTCATTTGTGTTCAACATAATCTTGCCTACCGACCACAGCAAAGCAGCCGAATGAGAAAATTGATCTGTATGCAATGTGGACGATTTCATAATTATAGGCAAGGCTGTAGATACGGGTATTGGATAACGAAGTGAGAGTAGCTGATGCCTAAATATTTCTGTGGCCCAGTTGTCTTTGTTTTCGATTTCTTTTTTAAACGCTTCGTCATATTTCTTCAGTTTCCCTTTCTTTTCTCGAAGATTATTTGAAAATTTTTCAAATTCTTCCCGATTTAAAACGAGTTTTAAAACTCTTTTTATCTCCTCGATTGTATGATCCAATTCGGGTAGAGGATATTTTAACAGAGTCATTTCTTAAGAACCTAGAAAATAATTGACTTTATAAAATATCTAAGAAAACATCACTGAACATTAAAATGCCCAATGTTGTTACTTTAAATAAAATAAAGCAAAACTTAGTTAATGTACAATTATAGGCTACTTACAAATTGAAATTGTTTTTCCCTTACAAACACCATTTTTTTTAAATTTAAAAGATTTACGATAATAGTGTATATTAAATTAATGAAAAAATAAATAAATACAATAAATAAATATCAATAAAAATAACATAAATAAAAAAATAGTAAACAAGGCTAAGTATAACTATTCTTTCTTTTTTTCTTTCTTCTTCTTCGATGGTGTTTATATGGAGATTTTAGCTCAATGTAGGCTCTTTCTCCGAGTAGACTTGTGTATGATCGCTAGGCGACCGATTAGCCGGCTGTATCGAACAGCCATACGTACGCGTGGGAAATAAATGCCTTCCGGGAGGACTTTTATGGGGAACTGGCCTCCTATTCAGTCGTTATAGGCAAGGAGAAAACCCGGAAAACTCCAAGCAGCCAGCCTGTCCGACCGTGGCGCGAACCCACGACGAACCTCCCAATCTTTAGTGTCTGGTTACCACTACAATGAGCGGCAACGGAGACCACTCGTCCACTGGTGGGGGCAAGTATAACTATTACAAGCTTTAAGGGTTTTTAAGTCCCATGCTTTTTTCTATCATATACTTCCACACTGTTGGAAGGGCATTAGCATCCTTGGCATTTAGGCAACGGTTTTTCATTTTACTTTTATATATTTCCATCTTTTCCATTCCCAACGCAATGGATAGAGAATGGACCGTTTTAATGACTTTCGCTTCATCCCATTTTACAATCGCTCCTTCTGTCTGTGCCATAATCGCTAATATTGTATTGTTGTGCCCTTTATCAACGTTGTATCTGTGTTCTCGCAGACATACCGCCAGGATTCTTCTGCTTACGCTCACATGTAAGATCGCCGACCTGGTGGAGATTGGAGACTTAAAATCCCTCTTCTCGGACACCAATGTAAGGACGCCAATTTGGGGGAGAAAGAGTTTTAATTCCCTACCGTCGGGATGGTCTAAGGTCTACTCGCATGTGGGTGGCGGTTTTGAGAAGGCAGCAAAAGACAAGTGTTTCAAAATAAACCGTTTATTCTTGTCGAAAATGCTTACATTAATTTAGCAATAGTCCTTAAGTTCAGAACTTTAGGTTGTCTTCGAGAGTTGTTTTCGGTTTCGGTCTGATCCTACGTTTAGGGCGCGAGAAAGGTTGGCTAGAGATGGTCTATTCGACACCTTCCTTTAGACTCTGATCGCGTTTAATCGGTGACGATGACACCCACGCTCATTTTGATAATGTTTCAAGTATCGTTTCGCTTTCTAAACTGCATCTTAAATTTTTAATATTTTAAATTTTCTTTTTCTATATTTTAAATTTTTGTTTTTGTTTATATCTAAATTCTCTTCCATTTTTACGCTGTCTTTATCATTCCTTAATAAGCTATAGACATTGGGCGCTCTTTTATAGACCATTTTTGAGTTTTTATAAGTAACCAATTCACTCATCACTCCTCCTATATGTTTATTGTATGTGAATTTGTTAATTGCATTTACTTTAGTAACTTTTTTGCCTTTATGTTCTCTGTAACTTTTGACCGGGCATTCAATTGTGGCGGTTTTGTAGTCTAAATTTGTTGCAATTCTTTTAATTCTACTAATTTCCTTGAGACGATCCTGAACGTGCGACCTGTCGAACTGCATAATAAAATTCAATTCGGCCCAAAACACGCCATGCGTAAAGTAAGCGAGCGCCCTTTGGACGTCAAAACAGGACACTCGGAAAGTCCAGATCTGAAGACGTCTTTCGTAAATAAAATAGAGAACAATTTTAAAATGTACAGATATACATTAAGTGAAATTATAATCATCGTTTTCAAAGCGTTAGAAGTCAAAATTGAAAGAACACTTGAAATAAATGTTAAAAAAAACTTCAGAAGAATGAACTTTCCGAGTTATGTAGGGGAACTCTGGGCGGAAAGGGAAAAACGATTTACATATAAAGAGAGATGAGGGAATTGGTTCGTTCCCTGTCCTACACTCAGACTGCGACAACACGTCAGTGTGAATACTTGGTTACCGAGATTCGCTTTATCGTTGACCAATAAAACCTTGCGTCGTGATTTTTTCATGAAATTACAAGTGTATCAACATTAAATAATAAAAATATATGGTATATTTTATAATTTAACCAAATTTATATAGTCTAGTTTATTAAAGATTTGTTTGTTTGTATTTTTAGAATGAAATAACGCAAAAAGCAAACAAACTTTTTTCTCCACTTGATTTTTAGAAGCATACCATGTATACTTTGGGGCACAACGGGTGGGCACATTGGGACGGTTTCCCGTAAAGGAAAAGTAAAAAGAAAAGGTAAAGGAAAAAGAAAAAAAAAACAAAGTCTAGTAAAAAAGAACAAGGGGACGATTACTCGGAAGAAGATGATGATACGACTTGCCTTTACTGCATCGAGTCTTACTCACAGTCGATTGAGGGTTGGTGTTTATGTGTCGCATGTAAAAAAATGGGCTCATATGTCTTGTGCGCGTTTTGACAGCGACGATGACGATTCCGTGCTGGTTTGCGAGTTTTGTAAGCAACAAAACTAATATTTTTTTTCTAATATTTGAGCACTAATCTCATACCCCATTCTGCTCCGAGTGCGGGGCGGAACGGGATATGGACAAGCTTTTTTTTAATGATTTATTTTTCATACAAAATGATTGATTTTTTTTAATCTAATTTAAATAATTATGTGCCAAATATAATAAATAAAGGATATAATGTAATATTTTTGTATTTTTCTTTTATTTTTGACATAATTTTAACTTCTTTGTTAGCTATCCCATCCCGCCCCTGTTTCCCTAATTATCTTAAACTGGGAGAAAAACATTTATCTACGTTTATGATTTAAAAAAATATATTATTATTATAAAAAATTATTTATATTAATTGTAAAAATAATTCAAATTTCTCTTATTATTAATATGATTGTATCTATATCTTATAAACTTTCCATATATACGGTATGCATAATTTAATAAATGTTAAGTTAATAATAATTTAAAATATTATATTTATATAAATGTTATATATAAAATTATATAGTAATCAGAACTAAATAGAACGAATAAATTAATTAATTTACCTTTTTTTTTTTATTTCTTTTTCGACTGCTAAATGCAAATATTTAATGTGGAGAATATAACTTATAGCACACTTTTTATTTTCTGATTAGTTTCAAGACGCACACACGTGTATATATTCCTATATCTGTGTATGTAGACCTATATATATACATAGAATACTTGTAAATCTTATTGTATAATACGTCATACATTAAACTACGCTTGTTATTGGTCAGAAACAGTTTCTCTATTCAACGTTACAACTTTTACTTTCATTTTCTAATCAGAGGTTTCACGAATTCTATTTCGGTTTTATCATTTAAAAGAAAAAAAAATGATTTTGAAATTTTGTATAAAAATTTAAACATTTACTTTAGTTTTATCGAATTAATTTGAAATTAAATATACTAATATAATATTAATTTCATGCAAATGACATTAAAGAAATTAGTTTATAATACTGTATTTATTTCGTCAAAAACTGTAATATAAACATCTTTATTGGATGTTTATAGTACAGTTTTTGGCAGTACATACTTTTATACTTAAAAATTTATATTTTTATTCATTCTCTTGTGAATATAACACAAGAGAAATCGTGTTTTTTTTTTAAATTAATATTTGCAAAAGAAAAGTTTTTAATCAAATTTTATTAGAAATTTGAAATTGCGGGGTCCCTCTGAGGCCCGAAAAATCGTTGTCTGAGTCGGAAAATCAGTATTTACTGTATTATTAAATTAATAAATACAGTACTGACTTGCTCGTAATAATCAGTATTTATTAATATATTAAGTAATTATTTTAAAAAAATGATATAAAATTATTTCTCATAATACATAAATAAATGACATTTATATTTATAATTTATATTTAGGATAATTCGCCGAAACTTTCTTCCTGTTACGTGAATTGAAGGAAACGATGTTAATGATCTCGGAAGAACGTTCTTCCTATTTCGTAATAGATGCATTTCGGCAGTTGCTTCCTAAATATAGGAAAATAAAATTTTATCTTTACTTCCAATTTAAAAAAAAAAATTAAAAATACAACTAGTAGACACATTTTAATTTAAGTTAAAAAAGTTTTTATACTAAATTTCAAAATAAATTTTATTATAAGCTTCAAATAGAACCGGATACGATAATTATAATGGAGTAATTTGCTTATTGTGACAGTCACAATACCGGATTTCGAGTTTTAGAATAGGGTTTCTTAAAATTGTTATATAAAAATTACGGTTGATTCCGCTTAATCGGGCCGTCCGTTAATTGGGGTAGACGTTTATTTGGTCCAAAACGCAGAGAACAGAAACAAATCGATGTACAATAATACCCCGAACTTACGCGATAGGTGGGACCGCGCGATAACAGCGTAAGTCGAATTCGCGTAAGTCGGGGTATAATTTCTCAATGTGTGTAAAATCCAAGTCGGATGTATGTAAGCTAATAAATGTTCTCGTTAATCTTATCTCGTCTTTTGATTCGTTCATTGTTACAAGAAATCGCCACATAGAGTCTCTCGAGTCTCCGTAGATATAACAAACACAGAAATAAATAACACTAAATAAATTATAGATATGTGTCGATTCCGCGCGATACGTCCGAACATGTAAGTTGAACAATAGTGTGGAGGGAATGAGTAATCAAGAGTTGCCTGGTGCTCAAAGAAACGACGAATCGACGAGATTTGAAAATCGCGTAACTCCGGGTTCGCGTAAGTCGGGGTAGCGTAAGTCGAGGTATTTAATAGAAATTTGTGCCGCTTATTTGGGGCAGTGACGATCGTAATTGAATGGCAAACTATGAACGGTGTGACTCTATTGCGTCGCCATTAAGTTCGTTATCAGAAATTGCGTATAATAAAGTAGAATTTTAGTAACTTTTAGTAACTTTTAAGCCTAGCAAATTCTTCTCGAATTTGCTAGGCTTAAAAGTTAATAAAAGTTAAGGTTTGAACAGAAACAAAGTAATTTTGGTGTTTGCTTGATCAGGTACGTTTACGCAAGACAGTTTGAACCCCATCTGGAAAAGCAACTAAGTAAACAAATCAACTCATTTCATACGTAACGCATCGTACCATTGATTTGCTTACGTAGCCTCTTGCCACTTAGACGTATTCCTAGTGAAGAACAATCATGGTTATCAAATTGATCTACTTACAGCCACGATCTGTATGGAATAAAGCATATAGCATAAAGGTACAGCAGTTTGGGCTATCGAAAACTTAAAAATGCTATATCTTTTACGATTTACTTTTTTTTTACAAGCCTATAGGCTATTTGGCGGTATATTAGACTGATAAAATTTGTAAGTTTATTTAATATCATTTATTTAAAAATTTGAACGTAATTACACTAAGCCTCCTGGAAAGTGGTAGTATGTTCTCTCATCGTTCTTGCTCACATTTACTTCCAGTGTTTTTCAAAGATTGTAAAATAATTGTTTGGTTGCTGTTTAAGTTATGGCAACGCAACACTTGAACGATGCCTTCCGGGAGGTCTTTTTAAAGGAAACTGGCCCCTATTTAGGCCTTACAGACATGGAGAAAACCCGGAACACTCCACGCGTCCGAGGCGCGAACCCACAACCGAACTCCCAGTGTTCAGAGAATGAAGACCGGTTGGCCATTGGTGAACCGATTGTAAAATAACGTGAACCGAGGGGGTAGAGCGCCGAGCTTTTCCCCACTTATCGGCTTTTTTGTCAGGGATGGTCTATGCCGTAATCGAGTGGGAGGGTTAGCGAGGTCGTGACAAAGTGACGGTCGTACTCAAGGATGACACATAATTAAATATAAGAATAACATATTTAATAAACTATAAAATTATACAAAGCAAATGCAAAATCGAAAGGCTACAAAAATGGGAATAGTCAAAAATAATTCTAAGTCGCGACAATGATTGATCCGTTCTTGGCGAAAGACCATCTAAGTTCTGGACCTTTATCGGTCCCAATATCTTTCAAGTTAAGTAAATCTTAATCTACCCTATAACCGAGAGAGAGATATCGCTAGCAGTCTCACCTCTACACGTTTTTTTCATGAGAGAAAGGCCGTATGGTGCTCTCTCTCTCTCTCTCTCTCTCTCTCTCTTTTTTCCTATTATAATAAGTGCACCACTCCTATGGGTGTATAACATTAAGGATACATAAATCAAAATACATGATACAATGTAAACGTAAAATTAGTATTCGGCTTTTAGTGAAAACTAAAATGTAAAACTAGATATTAGAAATTATAAATAGTCTTTTCTTCTATGTTTTTGAACATAATTGTGAAAAGCATCAAACAGTGGCTTCTGAACAAGCTTATCGCGTGAGCATGACCACCTGAAACCAAGCGTAAAAATTTCTAATTTCAGAATAAGTATATGTTGATTGTAAATTGAACAATGATAGATCATATGGTCGACGGTGTCTAGTTTTCTGTAGAGCAGAAGCAAAAGCAGTTTCTGCCCGGTTATACATCGCCAGGTAGCTTCTAAAATTATCATGATCATTAAGTAGCAGTAGCAAATGTTAAATTTCTAATTGGTGATAAGAACCTGCATTCAACACTAGGAAAATAAAGTCTTGTTATTCTACCAGTTTTACTGCTCAACCATTATTAATTTTATGACGTTGATTAATGATGATAATAATAATAATAATAATAAAAAGATTGTTAATAATTAAAAAATAAAGTTTTTAAAATAAATTGTTCATTCGAATTCATTAAATTTTTATATTTTTAAATTTGTTCACATAAAGTCTTTTATAAATAATATTGATAGTATATATTAATTAACTAATTAATAATTATATATTTTGGACCTAAGATTTTTAGGGTTTCATAAAAAAATATTTTTTGTTAAAATCTTTCTATAAAATATTACATAAGATAGGGAAGAGGAGGGAGATCAAAGAAACTTACGATTTCTTACACGGGTGGGTGGGGGTCTAGAATGGCCAAAATCGCCTTTACGTAATTTATGGACGGCCCCCAAACTCTGACCTTAGTCACCTCCAGCAATTAATTCAGTTGGTTTGACAGCTGTTATCAAATTTATGAGGTAGAATGAGTAATCATAACAGATAGAGAAGTAATAAATTTAAAGAAATGTTCGATTTCTGACAATTAACATAAACAACTCCCGGAGACAAATCGAACATAGACGGAATTGCATCAGAATTTCTCCCGATAGTTCCCCTCCGGGACGTGTATAAAAAGGGATCGCACCCCTCGCGCCTCGGGGCGATTGTCTAAGAGAAGACTCCAGGCCAGAAACGATTCGAATCCCTGCTCCGCACTCCGAAGGATTTCTCCGAACATAATCGCCACGGCCAAAGAGGTAATCCCTTAGAAAAATTTAATATTTTATCACGTCACGCGAGTTGGCTTTAGTACAACGAGCGTTCTTAATAGAAATGGCCAAATTGAAGCCAAATTCAAAACTTCACCACTCAACGAGACCTAAAAATGAAAATAAGATTATTACGTAAGACGACATCTATTACCCCCTTACTCCTGAGTAAGAAGAATCGTAAGAAATCCTTGACCCCCATCCACCCCAAAATACCTTACGTAATTTATAGACGGCCCCTTGTCTTACAACCTTAGTAATAATTATTCCTTACATGGTCATTCTAATCGGCTTTATCGTTCACGAAATCTGATGAAATAGAAAGTGTGTGGGTTTGTACGGTTCGGAGTCCCTTTGTCAGCGACCTTTATGTTACCCTCTATCGTGTAACAAATTTAGGTTCTTGTTAATTGGCTAGTTATTTGTATTGATCTTAACAATAGATCTTAATATAGGTGGAAATGAGTAATTCCCGATAGCGAGGGGAGAACCTTATCTGTCGTCCGAATTGTATTTGGAAGTTTAAAAGGTTACTTATCGAAGTGACGCAGAAAATTGAAGGGTCGAAAGGTCTAATTACGATCCAATTTCCCCTTTCTGGTAAGAAAGGGGAAATTGAAGGAAGAAGGGAAATAATGACTGAAAAAAAGTATTGAAGCTTTAAAATTCACAGAGCTTAAATCCTCACAATAAACATCGTCTTTAATTAATTTATTTTTTAGTAAGTATCTTTTTATTTTATATACTATTAAACTTTTTTTTATTAGACTGTTGTGGAAAGTGTTTTTTTTTCTTTTCAGTATATCGGGATAACGTCCGCATATTTGAGCGGA